CAGGCCCTGGGGACACACACAGATGTTTAAATTTACCTTACGGAAAAGAAATAGGACATGCAAGGAATCACACATAGTCACACATTGTGATGTCGGCACTTGGCAAGCGGAGGCAGGAGGATTGCTGGAATTTGAGGCCAGGTTGCATTGCAGAGGGAAACCTTGTCGTGAAACCCTGTTGCTTGCTTTGTCAGCACCGTCGAAAACTGGATGGAGAGGAGCACAAGGGTGACCTATGAGGAAGCTGTTTTGATGGTAACTTGCGGAGAGGGAGACTGAGGAGGTGTGTGTGTTGTGTGTGTACGCAGTGGATGTGTGTGCCCCACATGGCTTGCAGTCAGCACTGACCGGTCACGGCCAGGTGTACAGAACTGCACACCGGTGTTCAGCTTCCACCCCCAGCTTCCTGCCGAGTGGAGACAGGATCCTGTGAAGGAGGCCGTGCCGTCTCAGGAAGCTGGGCTCCTGCAAGGTCGTCCTGGTCCTTTCCTGTTTGTTCTGTCCTGGACAGAGGCCTTGGGACCTCTCTGCACAGTAGTTGCCGCAGGCCCAGGCAATGCTAGGAGCTGAGCTAGGCACTGGGCACACTGTCCCTAACGGTGTGCGTTGAAAAGTGCAAAGGCTTTAAGAGCCTCTAGTTACAGACACACCTGGGACCCATCTGGGACCCACCTGTGCCTTAGTAAAACGTGGTGATAGTTCTATCTGTAGGGTCTAAGTTAGATCCAAAATATGTGTGAAACTTACAGACCCGTCCAGACAAAGTGGTACACACCCATGAACCTTGTGAGGGGGAATCTGGAGCTTGCTGGCCACCTCACAAGTCCCTGTCTCAAAGACAGCAGAGTAAACCCAGCAAGCTCACCTCCAAGGGCACGCGGGTCTCCTTAGACCTTGCTGGGCTGTGAACAGGAGGCAATGTTCCCCGTGTGTTTGTGGGGTTTACGAAAGATCAAACATTGTGTTCTAACAGCATGCATTTTTCGCTTTCTCTCCAAAGCCGGCTACCCAAGTCCTCCCACTGACCTTTCTGAGAACCAGAAACCCTTTGGCCTTGCCCTTGGGCCTTGAATTACCCTGTGGGTTTGCCCATGTTGCACTGTCCTGTTGGTGTTTAGTCTTGGGAGTTTACACACCTAGCCATCCATAAGCCCAGGCCAGCTTACCACACAGCCCTGGGAAGTGTCCAGTGAGAACACAGCCATCTATGGTCACATGTGGCATCTCTGTTGAGTTCTGTGCTGAGGTGGAGATGTTGAGCTCGGAGCACACCTGACCTTCAGAGGCCATCAGTGAGGTGGCTCGTGAGTTCTGGAAGCAGAGGCTGGGTTAGGTTGTACAGGACAGGAAGTCACTGTTGACCCCACAAAGCGGGACCATGCCTGCCTTGATTCCCAAGTCCCTTCTGCTCTTGACGCACAGGGTCTGTGGCAGTGGTCCTAATTCAAATGCTGACATCTATGGGGTGGTGACTGTATGCCAGCCTTGTCAGAAGCTGTGTGGACTTTGTGCTTACTTTGTCCCAGACATCCATGTTCCTCACAGAGAGCTGGCCCAGAACAACCCAGGACACCCAGCTTGGAGTGGAGAAGCTGTGAGAGTATCAGACTCCCTGCTCCCCACTCCCGCCTCCCCCATCCCACCCTGCATGCCCTCCCCATCCCACCTGCATACCCCCCAGACTTATCAGCAGCCATGACCTGAAATGCTTTTCCCATCCTCTCGTTGCTGGCTTTCTGGGGTTGTTCCCCAATGTAATGGGTCAATGGTCTCTGAACTAGGGCTGCCCTCCTAGCCATTCATGGGAGAGTAGATGGTACAGGAGTGAGATGACATTGCTGCCTGGCAGGGGGCAGTTTGAGAGCTGGTTCCCTGGGGCAGGACCCCACAGCCTATGTGGGTTTGTGCACAGGGGCCTGGCTCCCATCCAGGGCTACTTTATAAGTGCAGCCTATGTACTGCCAGCTCCTTCTGCTCACACCTCATCTTTTCTTGGGAACCTCTTGATCTGCTGAGCGTAGGCAAATGCCAGTTTAGAAAGTACACATGGGTTTGAGCCAAAATGTCATTTCCTTCCCTCCACTCTGGGTGTCTGTACCTCAAGCTGAGCGGTTCCTTCTGCACTGGGCACCAGTGCTGTGTCTTTTATGTAGTGCAGGCTGGCCTTGAACTCACTGTGTAGCTGAGGGTGACTTGATCCCCCTCCTTCATCTTCTGCTCTCACTGAATTCTGCTAGTGTGAGTGGTTCAGGTGCACAGTAGTTTCCTCGTGAACAGATGTCTTTCTGGTGAGATTTAAGTGGCTCCCTCAGATCCCTCCACACTTGATGCCTTCTTCCCTTCCCATGGCTCTTGGGCACGTTGGGGACAAGCTGAGAGCTGGTGTGATTCCCCCATCTCCTAATGGCCCATTTTGAGAGCTGCATGACACCACGGTGGCCTCAGCCTCTCCCAAGAGCGAAGGGGGCCAAAACCCCACCTCATGGCCCCTGCCACCAGCAGCACTCACTCTGGGCAGGTACCCCTGCACAGCTTCACCGACAGTCCCTTCCCACATTCCGGGAGGCTGCAGTATCCACACTGCCTTTTTAGGTTGAGTGTGATGGTGCCCAGAGGCATCGTCAGCCCCGTTTCTCAGAGGAGCTCAGAGGTTTGGCAGTGACAGGCCAATGTCACACAGCTGGGTCTGCAGGCAGGCAGGCTGCACCATTTCTGTTCCTGGCACACAAAAGGCAAACCTAGTAATCACTTGATCCCTCATCACAGAAAACCATGTGACCAACACAGCCAGAAGCATGATTTAGGAGGAGATGCCCCCCTCCCCCGCCACTAGGACTCTGTAAAGAACATCCGAATGCTTCTTAATCTTTTTCTCCTACTGTTTTTGGGTGCCAGTCAGTTTGCCTTATTAGTGATCTGCCCTGGGGCACAGTTACACTTGTCCCGAAGCCTCACAGACCTAGCTGGCCCATAGAAGGCACAGCCCGCTGTACAAGCCGATGAGAGGATGGGTGAAGCAGGATATGGATAGCCCCCGGTGTAGTGTTGACTGGTGGTCCTCCTGTAAGAGAAGAGAGCCGTGGACCCCGCCTCAGCCTTGTTGCTGTCCCCTGAGTCAGCGTTGTGTGGTAGAGCTCATCTGACAGTTTGTGGCTGTTCTCGTGGGGTTTGTGCTGTGCTGGCAGTTTCTGAGGCCCTGCTCCTGTACAGTTCTCTCCCTTCTTTTTCTTCCCCTCTCCCTCCCCTCGAAAGGGCACACAATGCTCCTCCTCCAGCCACTGGCATGAAAGGTATTGGCACACGTTCTTCATGTACCCTGATATCTTTTATTGCTGCATGTGTGACGGGGAGGACGGATGCCATGGTATGAGTATGGAGGCCAGAGAACAGTACGGTGGGGTCAGTTCTCACCACATTTTTGTGGGTTTGGGACACTGAACTCACTTTTGCAGCAAGTGCCTTTGCCTGCTGGGCCTTCTTGCTGGCCCACGTCTGTGTACTGTACTGCACATCACCTCGAATTGATTTACCTGGTGCAGTGCAAATGCAGTGGGAAGAGTTGTTCCTCACCACTGTCTAGGTGAAACAGACAAGAAGTCCACACTTGTCAACACAGAGGCAGTTTTCCTTCCAAGCTCAGATAAGCCTGTGCACATAGAACCTGTGGGTGCTGGTGAGGAAGCACCCCACACTCTGGGGGCCACAGAGGCTGGCTCCTATTGCAGTTACTCCAATGTAGGTCAGGGCTGTACAGTATGGTAGTCCTCATGGACTCCAGTGGTTTCTGAGTCTTTGACCAAGGGAAAGCAAAATGAATTTTACATTTTACTCAGTCTGGCTGAATTTAACCTCTTCTCAATCCCTGTGACAGTACATTGGGCGCCCTGCTTGGAGGTGGAAGGCCCATCACTTGGTCCATGGCTCTCAGCAAGCCTGTGTTCTTTGGGGAGTAGTTGATGGCAGCTATGCGGTTGGCAGGCCTGTGGTATGTTTGGCATTTCAAGGGCCTCTCAAGGGCAGCCAGGTTGCCTCCAGAAGCTTCCAGTGCCTCCCTGGATTGCTTGGTTTCTTCCCAGGGGGTGAGTCAGCCCCCATGCCCAGGAGTTCTGGGCCTGAGCATCTTGTGTGGGAGCTAGATAGGATTCCTTCTGTAGCTGGGCCTCATTGTATTAGCAGGGCTGGATTTCCAGAATACAGAAAAGACACAGACAAACGAAATAAATAAATGATAAAGGTGAGGAGTGTGATACAGGTGACTGCTCCTTGCTCCTTTCCGTAGTGACACAAATGACACTGTTGGTATCCTGGGTCCTTCTGTATAGCTGGAGCTTCCCAGCAGCCCCTGTTTCCAAACGGAGACTGTGGTCTTAGAGGTCAGGGAGGGGAGGACTCTTCATCTCTAGAGCCACATTCTGAACCATCCACATCCCGGTGTCTGAGACAGGACCCAGGAGGGACATAGAATATCAGGTGTTGGGTGTGTGTCTATGAAGCTTGCCTCCTCCAACCCCTTCCCAGGCTTTAAATGCCCTCTTGACATACACCCATGGGGACACAGCCTGCCTCTGAAGCACAGTGTTTGGAACTGAGTGATGAAGCCTCACAGACCGAGGTGGGAAACACTTTCAGTTGGTTCTTGGCTTAACTGCTTTAGAGACGTTCTACTCTTGTCTCAGCACAGCCTCAAGACACATGTTCACATCTACACTGAGCGAGTGCCGGGTGGAGGCTGGGCATTATCTAACTACAGGGAACACTGTACCTGGGTACGTGGTACCCTTTGGAGCTACACAGAGCCGGCCTGGGTAACTGTGCCTAGCATTTCCTGGGTGGTGACAGGCATGCTGTTGTATTATTTACTTTACCTGATGTCTCGGGCCGAGAGGAGGAAAGAGGCTGGCAGGGACTCCCATCTAGAGGCCATTGTCTGGTGCCTCAGGGAGCCTGAAAGCCCCTCTGCCTCAGCTGGCTCCTGACACAGTATCTCCATTGCTCTGCAGGGCAGGAAGCCGTGGTGAGCAGGCTCGGGGAGTGGTGCTTGGAAATGAGGGCATCCATGGGAGGTGAGTCTACCCAGAGACCCCGCTGTCCTGACACAGCCCCTTAATGCCTCCACGTTCCCCACCTCCAGTATTGGGCAGCTCTCTGCACAGCTGGCTAATTAAAATGCAGGAACATCAGAGCCTGGTGCACACTGGAAATGCCAGCACATAGGAATCTGCAGGTGCATTGTGGGTTCTAGCTCAGCCTCCTGCAGGCACCATCCAACATTCACGTTCTTGGGAATGGTTACCATTTTATCCTCACTGCCCTTGGCTAAAGGAGAAAATGTCTTGTTTACATTGCCAGCCAGCAAGTTGCAGAGGTAGGATTTGAACCCAGTTCTATAGAACTCCTGCCTGCCACCTTCCCTGCTGGGACAGCAGTAGCTCCTCAAGCTGCCCTCTGCCTCATCCCGCCTGCCTGAGAGAGGTTGTTTTCTTCTGGTAAAGCGTGGCCTTGACCCTGGCTGTGCATCTCTGAGCATTCTAGAATTATAAAAACATAAAATATAGGCAGAGTGTTTGCCAGCTCAGATTCTGAAACGTGAACGACTTGTTGGGGACAAATTGGCCATGCGATAACCTTTTCTCTCCAGGATCACTGTTACCAGTTAGAAACCACAGGCATGTACCTGCTGCTGTGCAGCCCCATTCTGCAAGCAACCTATAGTTCGAGCATCCCCTCCCCCATACCACCTCTTCAACCCAAAGGGCAGTAGTTCTAGTTCCAGCTAAGGCGTGGTTGGCAGCTTCCAAGGGGTTCTGGCTCAACAGTCATTGCAAGTGCCAGAGTTTGGATCTCAGGTCCACGGGACGAGCTTTATGAGATGCTTGAAGGCATCCTTAGATACCTGATTCCAGTGGGTCAGGGCTTGGCCTGTGGAACTGGCTACCTGCCTTCCATCTTCCAGTCCTGGGCTTAGTGCACAGACTTTATTGTTGGCTTGATGAGCAAGTCCCAAGTGCAGATGGAGAGAAGGCGAGAGAATGACAGGGGCTGAAGGAGACAACCCCCATGCCATGCGGGACCCTGACTCCACTGCTCCCTTGTCGGGTAACTGTGGGCATCTCTGCTAGCCTCAGTTTCCTCCTGTGTGCCAGTTTCCTCCTGTGTGCCAGGCCCTGGTCATCCCATCATTATTAATTGAACAGTAATGAGGAGCTAGGCGTGTGCAGGGAGCTGAGAATTCAGCTCTCCTGTCGGTGCTGCAGGAGTCAGGCAGATCTGTGGGTCACTACCTGTGTTCTTGCTGTTATCTGTCTGTTTTTTTCAAGACAGGATCTCCTGCACCTCAGGCTGGCCTCAGACTCCTGATCTTTTTGCCTTCACCTCCCACATGGCAGGTGTCACAACCATTAGCCACCATGCCTGGTTTATGTGGTCCTGGGGGTCAAACCCGGGGTTTTGTGCACACTGGGCAGGCCCTCCCCAGGGAGCTACAGCCTCACCTCTAAGTGCCACCACTTAGTTACCAGACTAAGGTCACATGATGTGGCTGGTGAGAAATGAGCCAGGCTTGTGTTGGAGGGGCCACAGCAAGACTGAGGCTGTGACAGTTTCATTGAGAGCAGACTTTTTGTACCCTTACCAGAAACAGAATTTAGTGTCAGTTGCCAGGATTTCAAATACAGTTGTTGCCAGGATACATGGATGTCAGGTCTACAGGCCACACAAGGTCAGTGTCTGAGACCGAGTGTCCTATCAGGCTCCCGTGCTTCCTGGACTTCTGAAGGAACAACAGAGAGACACAAAGCAGCCTGAACACAGCCGAAGGGCGTGCCTCGGTTTCTCAGGAACTGGAAGGCATATTGTACCCTGGGGGCCATGGACCCTAACCTGAAAAACCTATGATGCATGCCTATCAAGGCAGCAAGGCCAGGCCAGCTCCACGGTTGGCATCCAGCCCTGCTGGTAACCACCACCACTGTCCTTTATTATCAGACGGCTATTGAAACACTGATAGAGAACTCAGCCAATCGAGGCATCACAGCCACGGTGGTAAGGGGAGTGAGTCTTGCTCTTCACTGAGGCTCTGAGGCCACTGGTCCCTTAGAGGGAAGGGGGGAGGGAAAGCACCCACTTGTCACTGAGCCTGTCACTGCAGCAGCCTGTTTGTGTACCAGTGGGCCTGCTGACACTGTTCCTCTGTCCACAGATGCATACCCGGTGGGCCTGCTGACCCGTCGATGAGGCGGGCCCCCTGGCTGGGCCTGTGCCCCTGGCTGGGCATGCGCCTGTCAGTGCGTAAGGTGCTGCTGGCCGCCGGCTGTGCACTGGCCCTGGTGCTCGCGGTGCAGCTTGGGCAGCAAGTGCTGGAGTGCCGGGCAGTGCTTGGGGGCATGAGGAGCTCACGGAGGATGCGGCCGGAGCAGGAGGAGCTGGTGATGCTGGGTGCTGACCACATGGAGTACCGCTATGGCAAGTCCATGCCCCTCATCTTCGTGGGCGGCGTGCCACGTAGCGGCACCACCCTCATGCGTGCCATGCTGGATGCTCACCCTGAGGTGCGCTGTGGGGAGGAGACACGCATCATCCCTCGAGTGCTGGCCATGCGGCAGGCCTGGTCCAAGTCCGGGCGGGAGAAGCTTCGGCTGGATGAGGCCGGTGTGACGGATGAGGTGCTGGATGCCGCTATGCAGGCCTTCATCCTGGAGGTGATCGCCAAGCACGGCGAGCCAGCCCGAGTGCTGTGTAATAAGGACCCCTTCACACTCAAGTCCTCTGTCTACCTGGCACGCCTCTTCCCCAACTCCAAATTCCTGCTAATGGTGCGCGACGGCCGGGCCTCTGTGCACTCCATGATCACTCGAAAGGTCACCATTGCGGGCTTCGACCTCAGCAGCTACCGAGACTGCCTTACGAAGTGGAACAAGGCCATCGAGGTGATGTACGCACAGTGCATGGAGGTGGGCAAGGACAAGTGCCTGCCTGTGTACTATGAGCAGCTGGTGCTGCACCCCCAGCGCTCACTCAGACGCATCCTGGACTTCCTGGGCATCGCCTGGAGCGACACCGTCCTGCACCACGAGGACCTCATTGGCAAGCCTGGGGGCGTCTCCTTGTCCAAGTGAGTGGGGCCCCACAGCTCCTCCCAGGCCCCGGGCGGCAGATCGAGTCTGCCCCTCCTGAGCTGTGCTGCCTGAGGCAAGTGTCTGTGCCTCTCTGAGACTCAGCATCCTTCTGTGTACTGGGGAAAGAGTTGCGGGTTGGCTGCCTGAAAGCGGAGTCTTCACCAGACAGGCTTCTCCTCCCCTGTAGCCTCCGTGTGCTATTGAAAAGCGCAGACAGCACATGGAAAGTGTGCTGCGCGCTGAAGGCGCCTGGAGGAAGCTGGCGTCCACGGGGACTTCCAGCATTGCCATTAGAATCTGATCTTTTCCTTTCTCAAGGACAAGCTGCCTGAGTTAGTTGTAGATTTGACAAGTTACTTTCAAGGAGACACAGGCTGGGCTGGCAAGATGGCTCAGTGAGTAAAAGGGCTTGTGTGGCAAGACGCTGAGTTTGATCCCCAGAATCCATAAGAGTGGAAGAAGAGAGGCGACTCCACAAGGGTGTCCTCTGACCTCCACACGACTGTGGACGTGCCCCACACATACACGTGATACTTGTGCACACACAATAACAGACAGGCTAGAGGCTGGCTCAGTGGCTGTTCATGCTTGCTGTGCAGGCATGATGGTGGAGTTCAGCTTCTCCGGCACACACATAAAGCCACGTGTGGCTGTGAGGGCCTGTCACATGCACCCAAAGGGGCAGAAGGCAGATCCTGGAGCCAGCCTAGCCAAACACAGTGAAGCTACAGAAAGACTGCCAAAAAGCGAAGTGAGTGAGGACATCAGCATCTGGCTTCCTCATGTTCTACACACATGAACAGATATGCATGTACACACACACACACACACACACACACACACAAACGAAGGAAACCTCGCTGCATCACTAGTGCATGCTGTTCTTCTCACCACAGCTCTGCTTTCTGCTGTGTGCAGCCTCCATGAGGCACAGTGCCCTGGCCGTGCTCACAGCCAATGGGGCAGGGCTGCCCAGGGGTCAGAGCCCCATAAGCAGCAGGGGGTGCCCCGAAGCCTGACCAGACTGTGCTCTCTCCCCAGGATCGAGCGGTCCACAGACCAGGTCATCAAACCCGTGAACCTGGAAGCCCTCTCCAAGTGGACTGGCCACATCCCTGGAGACGTGGTGAGGGACATGGCCCAGATTGCCCCCATGCTGGCCCGGCTTGGCTATGACCCATATGCAAATCCGCCCAACTACGGGAACCCTGACCCGATTGTCATCAATAACACACACCGGGTGAGTGTGTGTGCACACGGGAGTGTGAGCATATGCTTTGGCAGCATGGGTACTTCAGTCTCTGCTCCTGACCAGCACGTGTTCTGCCTGATGCACACAATGGTACAGATTCGGCTTTGGCCACAAAAGGAATCTCAGAGCCAACAGGCTTCCTCCTCTCCCTGTTGCTTCTCTTTGTGTCTCAGGTCTTTTTAGGGGTTTGTGGAGGGGGTTCTAGACAGGGTTTCTCTGTACCAGAGCCCTGACTGTCCTGGACTTCTCTGTAGACCAGGCTGGCTTAGAACTCACAGAGATCCACCAGCCTCTGCCTCCCAGTGCAGGGATCATAGGCGTGCGCCACCGCACCTGGCCTGTGTCAGGTCTGGCTCACATTTCTTTGCTGCCTCCCTGGCTCTTTTCCATGTGCAGAGCCCTTCAAGGCTTGAGAGCAAACTTACATAAAGGAAGAAGGGACCACGCTGTTGTCCAATGATTTCTCAGACCGGAGCTGTTGAAATTCTGTGGTGAAGATAGTTAAGGGAAGTGGGGTGACAAAGCATTTTATAACAACGGCTCACTAGCTCAGAGCCACGTCTGCTTGGCATCATCCAGCTTCTTGAGCGCCTTCTCTGGGCACCCACACAGGTGCCCTGAGGTTGCAGTTCTAGCGTGCCATGAGATGTTAATGAGGCTGACGTGTTGCCGTCGACTAGTTAGCTGTTGGGATGTCCGTACACAGTGCACCACCCACTGGCTCGCAGCCACTAGAGGCTCAGGGCTCGGCTGTGCATCTAAGGTGTGTGGAGGCCATGCTGTGTGCGCAGGTGTGCAGAGGCCACACTGCACTGTGTGGGGGCGTGCACGGGTCTGCGCAGGCACTCTGACACTGTAGCAGTGGCCACCCTGAGTCTGCTCCTCACAGCACTGCCCCTGTGTGTCTGAGAAGCGATCATGTATTTGTTTACTCATGGGCGCGTCTCTGTGTGGCACAGAACAGCTTCAGACCTGGGGTCCTCCCTTGTCTTTGAATTGATTGGATCATAAAGGTGTGTTCCACCTCAACCGCTATTTCAGTGGTTCGGATTTTATCGTGGTTGCTTTGTTGAGGCGTGGTTTTGCTATGTTGCCCAATCCCTGGGCTTAAGCCATCCCCCGGCCTCTGCCTCCTGAAGAGCTCTACCCCAGGCGTGCATTCCAATGCCGTTAGCCCAAAGACGTCTGCATTGCCTCTTTGCTTCCCATTCATTCCTCATCTTCTGTGTGTGCGGTGCTGCGGATGAGCCCAGGCCTTGAGCGCCAGCCAAGTGCTCTGCTACTGAGCTGCTTCCCAGCCCTCTCACCTTCACAAGGGAATTCTCTCAGGACCGTGCCAGCCGTCTAGGGTCCCCACAGCCGTCCCTCATGAGCATCTCAGTGCTTACAGAAATGTAGCCCCACCACAGCAGTAGTTTTGATATTCTCAGGGAGGCTGTGATCATGTCTGCTTTTATTATAAATATTATTAATTCTTATTCCAAAATAAATTATCCAGCTCCATTTTCATGTTTTATATTCCTTTCCCTACAGAAGCTCCTCTGACCATGATAAATAACTAACCACAGTATTGTAGAGGGTAAATGTTATGCTTAAAAGTTAGAGCATAAAAGTTAGCTTATGTCAGTTACAAATGAAAAGAGGCCAGGTTCGGTCCAGTGTAGAATCCTTGCCCAGCATGCATGAGGCTCTGGCTTCCATCCCATTCTATGCTTAAAAGCAGAAAAACAGTGACGGAAATACAACCCTGGGCATCCAGAAGTGCACAGCAGCAAAAGGCTGTGTGTGCAATGGCTCCAAAGTTCCCCGGAAGTCAGATTCTATTGTATAGAAAAAGGATTGTAGTGGATGTTGGATCAATCAGATCAAGTATTTGAACTTTTTTTGTTTAAAATAAAGCTGCCAAAAAAAAAAAAAAAAAAAAAAAAAAGATGGCTGGGCATGGTGGCACACACCTTTAAGAGTCTCAGTCTACCGACTGAGCCAGCCGTGGTACACACCTTTAGTCCCAGCACTCAAGGAGGCAGAGACAGGCGGATCAATGCAAGTTTGAGGCCAGCCAGGTCTACAAAGCGAGTCCACTACAGCTAAGGCTACACAGAGAAACCTTTCTGTCTCGAAAAACCTACAATAAATAAAATAAAACTGCCTAATTTTTTCCCAGAGAGCCAGAACATTTTCTCCTTGGGCTTCTGGTCTCCGCAAAGGCCTAGTCTTGATCTCCATGATGTTCAGCCCCTGCTGCAAAGGGACACTGCTAAGGAAATGCCATGTGGGGGCTGGTAACCAGCCATGAGTGCTTGAATGCTTTAGGCTATCTGTCTCCCTGTCTGTGGGCCCTGGGCCTCAGTAACTCAGTGATGAGAATTGCACTTAAGAGCTTGTTCCTATACAAGCTCTTAACCGTATAGGTTGTTCCTATACAACCTATACGGTTGGTTCCTGTGGCTGCAAGCTATAGGCAGCTGTGATACAGGAGCTAGGCCACACTGAGACTGTACATGGAAATGCACAGTGGGTTTGTCTTTGGCCCCAAAACATGTCAAGTTTCTCATTGGTCATTTTCATACAGAGTCCATATTGATTTGTTCAAGGTCTTCACATACCAGGTTGAATAAGAGATATTTGTGTAATGGGTAGAGTTCAGCAGTTGGGTCCCATTGGATTTCTGTTTGGCAGCGGAAGGTGACACTATGAGGACACTGGCCACATGGTCAAGGCTTCAGTCTTACCCTCTGCCTGAGTACTTTTACTTCCCTATTTAACCTGGCTGGTTTTACTTGTCCTTTGGATCTCACCACCTTGGTTACATGGTTGCAGAAACACCTGCTCACTCCCAACCACACCCTTTTGCCTCACTGCCTTCCTGGCCACCCGTGGCTGCACATGCCTGTGATGGTTTATGGTTCTGTTATCTTCGTGTCATCTGTGTCCCTGTCAGAAATAGTTGCTGCAGGGGAACAAGAGCTTCAGTTGCTGATTACCGCTGTCCCATGCAGGTAGAATAAGAGGCTCTCAGTAAATGTTGCTGAGGGAAGATGGATGGATGGATGGGGTGGATGGGAAGGAGGGTAGATGGACAGGCTGATGGATCTGATGGTACATGGAATGATGGGTGGATGGCAGTTCGATGCGTAGATGAAAGGAGGGGTGTGGGGGAGAACTGTGAAACTGACAGGTGAGTGGGAGGAGAGCTGGAGGTCCAAGGATGGGCAGATGGGTGGGTAGTTAGATAAGATGTGTCAGTGGTGACCTGGATTTTACTCTGCCCATTTTTTCCCACAATGACACTTACCTTCTTTCCTAGGTCTTGAAAGGA